ACAGTGAGAAAAAACTGAGCTAGAACCAATTTGCTCTCCCTGTCATTAGCAACATCAGCATTTTTGTCTTTAACTCCCTCACCTCCTCCTCCTTTCTGCCTTCCTCCTTGAGCTCCTTTTTCTTGCCTTTTTCAGCCTTGCCCTCTCCTTTCCACCTACATCAGGCTGCGTATTCTTTAACTGCCTCGTCATGTGATTCCAGAATATCATTCTATATCATATAATATCATTCTATAATATCATACAGAGAATTGAGAGCTAATTCATATAATTCAGTCTTTCCTTCAACCTGGTTGAGCAAAACTTGTTTGATATCATTGATGATCTAGGGAAGATTTTGTGAGGCTCACCACTCTCTTGGAAATGTCGACTGGAAATTGTACTGAAAATGCACAGCTGTAAGATTGTTGTCAAATTTGGGGGCACTCCATCAAGTTTCTTTCATCTGTGGACTATAAGAGTTCAAGAGTATTTTAAGTTTTCCTGAGTGGTGATTCATTTTAAATGCTTTTAAATTGGCAGGGTTCATTTTAAAAGTTTGTTGATGTCAAAGTCTTGTGATAGTGGCATATTATGAATTTTATTATTTGTTGATGTCAGTATTATGTATTAGATCAGCAAAAAATGTAAATCTTTTCCCCAATGTGTTCATATAATTCACTACTTCTTTGTTTAGATTATCAAGCAATACAGGAGTCTTTTCAATAATTCCAGTCAAAAGTCTTTCTTTTAGTAAACTACTTTTTGGTATGATCGAAATATGTTTGGCAGGATACAATTGTCTTCTCAATATCAGAATCATTGTAAATGATTTCACTGTTCATCACTATTGCTTCTGTTTTATCTTTCATTTACTTAAAATACATTCCACTAAACCCAAACAAAATGTTTACCTTTCGAGAGGACCCTAACATGCCCATAAATACCACCCAACACAAGGGGGAATTCAGAATAGAGACAAGGGCCATAATCAGTTTGCTAAAATATTTTACTTTGGAAAATTTGAAAAGAAACTAGACCCTGTGAATATATTTCTAGGGCTTTTCTCGGGGCCTTGGAAGGGGCTCACATAAGGGAGAGGACCTGAAGCTTAAACTTCATTAGCTTCAAGGTACACCAGCCTCTGATTATTGTATGCTCTGGGGACACACGTGCTGTAGTGTAAGCACACGTGTGGGGACACGCATATGTCTCTATGGAGAGCATGACCCAGTGTGTCCTCAGACCCAGCCCAGGTGAAAATGGCCCCAAGAACAGAGACGTTTCATCTACACTGCAAATGGAGTTGGGTTCAGCTAGATGCCCCCTCTTACCCACCCCCACCAGGGGACTGAGATGATGGACAGGCCAGGAGGGAACCTCAAATCCCATCATCCACCGGGTGATCCTGTCTCCCTCCTGACTTTCTCTCCTTCCTCTCTCCTGACTTCCTCTGCACGGGCTATGGGCCAGGTAGCTAAGAGTGCAGTTTCTGGAGCCTCCCTGCCTGGGTTCAAATCCTGCCTCATGATCTAAGCTGGTCCAGTTAGAGTTCTTCTCTGGGAATTTTCTAACTGGAGTTAAATGGTGAGATCTGAGATAACCCCTGAGTTGCTGGAGAAAACCAGTATGGACCAGGAGAGAGTGAAGGTAAGTAGAGGCAAGGAGGGGTGTGTGTGGAAGAGTAAGAGGGGCTCCAATCCGGGCTTTCAAGGCCTGTGGGAGCTGTGGTGCTTGTAGCTCTACGTCCATGTGTGAACTGCCCTGTGTCCTTCCAACGCCCAACCTGTGGGGCTTAACCTAGTTTGAACTGGGTTTCTGTCACTTGTAACTGGACCTGCCCTGGACTAAATCTGCCCCCATGCCTGCTTCTTCACCTAAGGTCTCTATCTCTGTAAAGGCGCCACTATCCACTCGAAAGCAAACCAGAGCCTGAAGTCATCCTTGGCTCCTCCTTTTCCCTCCCTTCTTTAGGGGCTCCATACACAAGGCTCTGTGAACAGTTGTGTAGGTTGTTCACTGAACAAGTGCACCTGGCTGAGGAGGTGAGTGAAGGCTGAAATCTAGCCTGCTCTCTGTTTGCCTAGCCATGAACCCTGGTGCAGAGCAGTGTCCTTGGGAAAGAAGGAACATCTTTTTCTAGTTCCCACTATCTCCCTATCGACTACTGGGGCCTTCTTCATAGATGCGATTGGTTCCCTCAGTGCAGAATTCATGAAGGCACAGGAATAGAGACAGTTGTGCCAGATCAAGTGTAGGTGTTGACAGTACAAAGAATTCATGAATGAGCCCCAGCAGGTCTCAAAGACACATCTGGGGAAGCAGCCAGAAGAAAAGGTGAGGATCACTAGTAACAGAGCTCACCAGGGGCCCTACATTGGGGAGAGCAGAGAGCAGGTCTTCTGCCCTTCTTTCTGGCATTACGTCTTGCCTGCATGCCCCAGGGCTTCTTCACACCTGGCCCTCTTTGGTGAGAAGAGCCCTTGAATGTTGGCCTGTAGGATTTTCAGGAAAAAAAGGGTCTGAGGGTGGGATTTAGGAGGCACTGAGATCCTGGTGACCGGTGTATGTGAATTAGGGGCTGGGGTTGGGCAGAACTTTTGCCAGCCCATCCAGAAGAGCCTCTGTGTGTGTGTGTATCTCCCCTGTGTGTATGTGTGTGGTGGTGGGGGGGAGCCTATGGCATTGTGCATATGTTGTCTTCTTTTGTCTCTCAAGACACAGTTCAAATGGCATCTCTTCCAGGAAGTCCTCCCCAGCACCCTAGCTAGATCAATGGCCCCTCCTCTGCTCTTAGGGTGTTTATAGACTGATAAGAGCACTCACGCCACCTGTGATGATGCAGGTTTGCACGTGCCTGTCTCCTTGCAGGCTCTGGCTCCTGTCTTCTTATGAGATCTCAGTGCCAGGATGTTGTAAGTGCTGGGTTATTTAGAGTAGATGTGTCTGTGCCTGTCTGGCCTTCTATGCCGTCCCTTTGTGATTGCACCTATCACTGAGAGCCTGAAGTACCATGCAGCTTATAATGCCACTTCACACTCATTTAGTTTTTCTTCATAATGCTGTGAGTCCCTTATCACATCCTCTATGCCTATGAGAATTCTGAGTGGCACTTCGGGGACATGAATTTTCAATGATCCCTCTGGACACCATACCTAACTTCACTTTGTGTGTATGGAGGGGCGTGATTCGCAACCGTGTTCACACTTCAGAATCAACCTGGGGAGCTTTTGAAAAATTTCAGTACCTGGCTGGGGGTATCTGCGGCAGATGCATTAAATCAGAATCTCTGGGTGGCAGGGGCCAGGCATGGATTTTTTTTCTTTTAACTACTCAGATCATTGTAATAGCCATCCTGACACGAGAACCACCGACCGGTATGTGGTGACTTACTTCACAGTCAGAGGAACTTCCTCACATAATGGAAACGTATGCACTCCTCCTTTCTGCAGGCCCCAGGCTTCCTCCTTGCAACCCGTCTGCCGCCTACAGGAGTCGCTGCGCTACAGCTGGCCCCGTTTGCAGATTTTTCTCTGGGTCAAAATCCTGCCCCCTACCCCAGCGAAAGCCGGAGCCACCGCAGTATAAATTAGCGTCTTTATTTCGAACACCTGAACGAGGGCCCGCGGCTCGCTCATCTGCTGTATAAACATACAAAGTCCCTGTCGCACCGCACACCATGCCTCAGAGATAAATACAGCCCTAGGGGCTCCTGCTCTGGCAAAGCAACTCTTATTTACAGGAATAGATTACAAAAGTATTACAAAAAGTGGTCCTGAACCGGGGGAGCAGGTGGGAGTGGTTACCGTTACACCGGCTACACTTGGGAAGGGAGCGTACCCCGCGGGCAGTGGGACAGAGCCGACGTCTAGAGCGGCCACGCCCCTTTAAGCTTCGGGGAGTCGGAGTGGGGGGGCGCTTAGGTCTTCAAGGTTCCACTCCCCATGGGAGAGGGGGCGAGGAAGAGCAAGGGCCTGGGCCCTCTCTGGCCCACGGAGTAACATCAAACGGCTATCGCAGTGGGTCTCAGGGAAGGGTGCTGCGTGGGAAAAAAAAAAAGGACCATGTCCTTGCCCTGGGCTGCGGGAGGCGGAAACACCTATCAGTTCTCCCGCCTCTCCTACCTCGGGAGGGGTCGCTTTTAAAGCGCTGTTGGGAGGGGAGTTGGCATTTAAGCTCAATCTTTTTTTGGCGCGAGGGACCCTGGGGGCACCATCCCTCGGGCCGCTGGGCAGCGGCGCCCTCCGATGCGGCCGCCCAACCTCTCAGAGCACCTGGTAGATTGGGTTGGAGTTCGCGCCCACGGGGCAAGGCGGGGCGGC